CCCCAGATCCTCCTTCCGGCCCTTCTTGTAGATGGGCGTCACATTAGCCAAGCCTCCAGTTGTCTGGGACCTCCCCCATTAACCAGGACTGCTGATAAATGATGGAGAGTGGCTTGGTGAGCTCCTCTGCCAGCTCCCTCAGCACTCTCGGGTGGAATAGATACTGGTTTGGATCTTAAAATGAATGTGCCCAGCGAATAAATCTGGTCTCTCAGTGGGGTGAATTAACCTATGTATGGTGCTGTGCTAACATAGCAATATGGCTCTTGTTGTGGATCTCTGGAGATCTCAGCAGCTTGCTCCTTGGTATCATGTAGGTGTACTCTGAATCACGTACCTGGATTCAGGCAGGCAGAAGGCAGCCGGTAAGTGGAGTGTGGGATTTCCCTGCGTGCCAGGCAAGTGCTTTGACCTCTGAGTAGCCCACTCTTTGTATGCCCATACAGTAAAATAACTATAGCAGATAGATAAAACCATGTTCTGGCCCTGTCAAGTTTGCAGCTTAAAGGTACAAATGTGGACAATGTATTTACAACACAAAATGATCAAATCGCTTCTCGGGCAACCACCTGTTCCTCCTCCCAGAGGCCTAGCCCTCATATTCATAAATACTGTATTAAATGTTGATGTAACAGCCCTTCAGGAATCCCAGGCCCCAGAGACCAAGGTGAAAGTCCAGAGCAAAGAAGACATACCCTTGGTGGAAGAGGATCAGGTCAGGGAATACTTAAGCAATCTGGACATATGTAAGTCCATCGGCCCTGATGGGATGCACCCACAAGTGCTGAGGGAGCTGACAGATGTCATTGCAAGGTCACTCTTGATCATCTTTGAATGATCATGGCTGTTGGGAGAAGTGCCTGAGTACTGGAAGAAAGCAAACGCCACTCCTAACTTCAAGAAAGGTAGGACGGAGGACCCTGGGACCTACAGGCCAGTCAGACTCACCTTGATCCTTGGGAAGATTATGGAGCAGCTAATCCTGGACACCATTTCCAGACACATGAAGAGCAAGAAAGACATCAGGTGTAGTCAGCATGGATTCACCAAGGGGAAGTCATGCTTGACCAACTTGATAAACTCCTACGATGAAGCTACTGGCTTGGTAGATGCCAGTAGTCCTTGTCCACTGCCAGAGGGGAGAGCAGTGGACATTGTCTACCTAGACTTTTGACACTGTCTCCCATAAGATCCTCATAGAGAAGCTGATGAAGTATAGGCTGGATGAGCAGTGAGGTGGATTGAAAACTGGCTGAACAACTGCACCCAGAGGGTGGTGATCAGTGGAACAAAGTCTAGCTGGAGGCCTGTAACTAGTGGTGTACCCCAGGGGTCAATACTGGGTACAGTCCTGTTCAACAGCTTTGTTAATGATCTGGATGATGGGGCAGAGCGTACCCTCTGCAAGTCTGCAGATGACACAAGACTGGGAGGAGTCGTTGATACACCAGAGGGTCATGCTGCCATCCAGAGGGACCTTGACAGGCTGGAGAAATGGGCTGACAGGAACCTCATGCAGTTCTACAAGGGGAAGTGCAAAGTCTTGCACCCGGGGAGGAACAGCTCCAGGCATCAGTACATGCTGGTGGCTGACCAACTGGAAAGCGGCTTTGCAAAAAGGACCTGGGGGTCCTGGTGGACAGCAAATTGAATATGAGCCAACAACATGCCCTTACAGCAAAGAAGGCTCATGGCATCCTGGACTGCATTAGGAGGAGCGTTGCCAGCAGGCTGAGGGAAGTGATCCTTCCCCTCTACTCAGCACTGGTGAGGCCACACCTGGAGTGCTGGGTCCTCACTGGAGAGAGCCCAGTGAAAGGCCACTAAGATGATTAAGGGGCTGCAGCATCTCTCCTATGAGGAAAGGCTGAGAGCACTGATGGGAGGGAATGCCAGAGAAGGCTCAGGGGGGATCTTATCAGTGTATATAAATATCTGAAGGGAGGGTGCAAAGAAGATGGAGCCAGGCTTTTTTCAGTGGTGCCCAAGTGACAGAACAAGAGGCAATGGGCACAGACTGAAACACAGGAGGTTCCCACTGAACATAAGGAAAACCACTTTTTCACTGTGAGGGTGACCAAGCACCAGAACAGGTTGCCCAGAGAAGTTGTGGAGTCCTCGGAGATATTCAAAAGCCATCTATCTGGACATGGTCCTGGGCAACCAGCTCTGGGTGGCCTTGCTTGAGTAGGGGGGTTGGACCACATGACCTCCAGAGACCTTCCAACCTCAACCATCCTGTGATTCTGTAATGCACTCACTTCCCTTTTCTTTTTACCTCTGCTTCTAGCTGTGAATTTGCTTGAAAATGTCCAGCAAACAAGCATTTGCTGCCTGGTCTGTGAGCCCACACGGCTTCTGTGCCTCGGCACCTGCCATCTGCACCGCTCCCTCGGGAGGCAGGCCAGAGCCAGGCACCGTGGGACCCACGGTAATTCCCCTCTGTGATCCACGGCATGCGCTCCGATGGTCTGGAATTCCAGTTTCCGGCAAGAAGAAGATGTTTCTGCCCTTTAAGGCTACAAGTGGCAATAGCCTAAGTGGAGCAAGAACTTACAATGACATTTTACCTCCAACCTCAATGACCTGATTGCTGGTTGTTTTAGCACGTGAATTGGGCAAAAAATACAGGCGAGGTTCATCGGCTGGGAGCTGCCACGCGTAAGGAAAGTCACTACGGAAGAAACAGAGCAGGCAAAGAAAAGCAGAAAAATGAGGACACAAATAGCATTGAGCTGATAAGGTAGCACTCTGAAAGCCAAACAGGAACTTACTAAAAATGAATGTGACAGAAATAAATAACTACAAAAATTTTATTTACTATCAAAAGACAATTTCCTCCCTCTGTATTGCAAACCTCCTACTGATAACAACAGTCATTCACCGTGGTTTGTAGAAAGGACTTAGTCCTTAATTTACACTCCAGGCCATAGACCACAATGAAACACAGAAATGTTTTTTTCTCCTACCGGTGAGTTTGACGTCCTTGGCAGAGGAGATGCTGCGGCAGCAGGAAGAAAAGGGAAGCTTGCATTTGCCCTTTGATAGGAAGCAGAGGGAAAAATAAAATGCCTCGTAATCTCCTTAGTTGTTCCCGCAGCGCTGTGAAGCGGTGAGCGGGAAGGCCGATCACAGACCTGCAAGTGTTACCTTGTAAAGGGGTGCCTTCATAAAACGCCCATTTGCTACTGAGGGGCAGCGTGGCAATTTTATCCACTGGACTTTGTAATTCTGCCATAAACTAGGTTCAGCCGCTGGAAGACAAAGGTTATATGATCTTTCTTTTTTGGCGAAAAAGTCAGGCCTGCTTTGTAACCGACTCCTGTTGTGCCCGCAAGCAGGCATTAACACGTTTATCTGTTGCGTGCAAAGATGGGAGGGTCTGTTCACTTGATCGTTCATTTGCAGTTGTTTCTTAGTGTGCAAACGACATCACTAAACACCACTGAAGGGGAAACATTTTGTTACATGAAAACGAAAATTATTAGCTTGACACGTGTGTCTTTCCCTGGCCTCTGAACGCCTCTCCTGCCCCACTGTCTCTGCTGAAACTCCCCCATTTTTGCCCATCCTTGGAAGCGCTCTTCTCGCCCCATTCTTTCCATGGTTTCTCCGAGAAGCGCCGGCTCAGGGCGCACACGAACCCGCCCGGCAGCAGCTGTCCCGGCCGCAGCCTGCGCCCCAGCCACCCA